CACACACACACACACACACACACACACACACACACACACACACACACTCTCTCTCTCTCTCTCTCTCTCTCTCTTTCTCCTAGGAGCAAAAGGTTTTGCAAACTGAGATGCTGTGTACAAAGGGGAGCTTATCAATGTTTTCATCAATACAGCATACAAACACTTCCATTTCCTCCCTGGGGGGATCTGTGCCCACAGTCCGGATGCCAGACAAACTCCCCTTAGAATATCTAGGCACTTAACCTGCGTCATCAGTTCAGGATCTGGCTCTTGGGGATTTTAAATTGCACCTTAAAATCCTATCTGGATACGACTTCCTCAAAAGTGCTAGGCATTTGAGACAAAGTAGTTGTGTAGTGATCTACTTCAAGAATTATGTGATTGTTCGAGGGGATCAGCTAGACTGAATGAAGCATTGGGATGTGTGCTGTTCTGAAATAGCCACTCTCTTCATTCCAGGGCCCCCTGTGATATTTAACACTAGCTGAAAATTCTGGGGATTCATAAGGGTTTCACCGTCCCTTCTCCACCCCCAGTGTTACCAAAGTCCTGCTCTGATGTCTTCCTATGGAGTGGGGGGAAGCGGAGCTCCTGCCAGGGAAGCAGAAGGTTAGGCAGGCCCCACAAAGCCAGAAAAGCTTTGAGCCCCGGCCAGGTGACAGACCATGAATCTGCCATCCAAGGCCTCGTCTGGTGAACTTCAGAGAGGCCCGTTAGCTGAGGGTTGCCCACCAGAGGCCAAATTTCTGGCCATGGCAACGCACGGAACACATCTACAAAAGCATGGGATTAAGGATTTGCCTTCTGGTTGGGAGGGCTGACACCCACAAAATCAGGGATGCTTTAAGTTACTGAAATAAGTCTTACTGAAATATTCTGATATTCCGAACACTTGGTATTATCTGAATTCAAGTTATTTAATCATTTAGAGAATTTCATCTCTTAATTATGAAATTTTGTGGTCTCGATTTTTAGCTGTGTGCCCTTAAGGCAAGCCATATCCCCTTTGACTCTCCATCTCTTCATCTGTAAAATTACGGGGTTGGACAACAGGATCTTTAAGGTAACTCCCAGCCCCAACATTCTCAGGTTCTATGACTAAGGGAGAATTTTTCTTTTCTACTCTATTTTATTCTAGTCTATCCTCTTATTAATTCTTGTATAAGTTGGCCAGATGTTGAGAAGACAATTTCCATAGCTGCTGACAATAGAAACGCTTCAGTATTCTATTTTTCCAGACAGGCGGGTGGCATGCTAGAAAGTGAGTGTACTGGGTTTAGAGTCAGAAGACCTAGGCTGGAGTTTTGGCTCCAATACTTTCTGGTGGAATGTCCTTGAATATGTCACTCCCTCTTAGAGTCTCATCTGTAAAATGGGAATGACAGCAGCTGGTAAGAATCAAAGTTGAAATTCAAATCTAGGTTTTCTGATGCCAGGACCATTGCTTTTCCCATTACAACTACTCTAAATGAGGCAAATACCTCCTGGTAATAGTCTTTTCTGTTCATAATAGAAAAAAGTATAGTATAAACCAACTAAAATTATACTCTATATTGGCTTCATTATTTGCAAAGACAAATGAAATAAAAATCAGGGTCTCATAAATATAAAAATGCATAAAGGCTATCTATGTAAACACATATGCATGTACATATGTGTGTATATATAAAGACACAGACACACAAACAAACCCTTTATGCAATTGTGATAGTAGCAGTAATAATAGCTTGTAATAGCTAGTAATTAAAGCTAACATTCATTCTCTAAATTTTGCCCAGAAATAAATTATTCTATTTTTTTCTTGATTTTATTATAGCTCCAAAATTGTATAACGTGACACCTCAAATGACATAAAGGCATTTTATGCAAAGATATTCTGTAAGTGAAAGGCAAAAATTGATAGTGATGATTATTAAGGCAAGTAAAAAGCTTTCATGGAAGATTTAGAGTGGACAAGTGGGTTTGACCCTCTGGTTTAGGTTCTTATTCGGCTACTTGCTTGAGAAGCAGGACAATATGGTGGGCGGAATGTTGGGCCTGGAGTCAGGAGATCCAGGTTTAAATTCTTGCCTCAGTTATTTGGAAGCTATGGGATCCTGGACTGGTCAGTTAATTTCTCTAAACTTCAGTCTGCTCATTTGTCAAACACAGACAATTAAAACAAAAAACAAACAAACAACAACAACAAAAACAACCCTGCACTGCCTCCCTCCTCGGATTTTTGTGAAAAAACTTTAAAGCACTATAGAAACTGGAGTTTGTGAGGGACTAGAATTCAGTGACAGATATGGAGAACCCTGAAGGCCTCAATTCCCTCCTCTTTGAAGGGGGGATAACAATACCAGCACTATTTACTTTACAGGTTCATGGCAAGAGAAAAGCTCTTGGTCTAATGGGAGACACTATAGAAAAGTGAGCTACTGTGAGGGTTTGTAGGCCTGACGTGGTCTGAGAGCCGCAGCCTGAGTGGGGAAAGGCTGGGCCTAGGACACAATGACCTGGATGGCCAGCTGCTTGGGGGAGGCTGCACCACCCTCGATTCAAGCTCTCGTCACAGAGGAAACCCGGCCATAAAGCCGTCTCTCAAATTCCCAAACCAGGTCTGCTAACGTGCACTCTG